AAATAAAAAATATATTTCTCTATATATATTTATTTATATATGTTATTATATATAACCTATAATATTAATATTTATTTTATGTATTACAGAGAGAGAAACACGTCTGTTTTCTGTGATTCCAGAAATTTTGAAAACTTTTACAGAAGAATTGCAGGAATTCTTGCAAGTCAGAACTGATCAAAAGTCAATAAAATATGTACATAAAAGTATAGGATTATAGTCAGATTGCAAAAAGCTAGATAAAATCAAAAACAAAAAACCAGCTATAACAGCTTGCCAAATTCAGTGAATTTACTTTACCTCAACAATTCTACCTATGTTACTGCATCTGTAGAACTGCTCATTTCCCATTATTTTAACTTCCCCTCTGTAGGACTGAGAATCAGGTATGACTCCCTCCTGGGACCTATGGAGACTCCTCTCTCTCTCTCTCCACACACCTTGATTCCTGCTTGCAAGTTTAGGAAACATCAAAGCAGCTATGGGTAGCCCGGGGGCATGCTCCAGCAGGAAGGGGAACGAAATGGGAGGGAGAACTAAAGTGCATGAGCCTCTACTATAGGCAGATGGTTGGCAAAGTTTCCCTTATTAACCCTCCTAGCTATCTGGTAAGGTTTTTATAGTTAGGAATTTTTTCAAGTGAAGAAACTGAGGCACAGTGCATTAGTCCTTTCTCACACTTCTAATAAAGACATACCCAAGACTGGGTAAATAATAAATAAAAAGAGGTTTAATGGATTCACAGTTCCACATGACTGGGTAGGCCTCACAATCATGGCAGAAGGAGGAACAAAAGCACGTCTTACATGGTGGCAGGCAAGAGAATGTGTGCAGGGGAACTGCCCTTTATAAAATCATCAGATCTTGTAAGACTTATTCACTATCATGAGAACAGCATGGGAAAAAAAACACCCCCATAATTCAGTTACCTCCTGCCAGGTCCCTCCCACAATATATGGGGATTATGGAAGCTACAATGCAAGACAAGATTTGGGTGGGTACATGGCCAAAACATATCACACTTGAAATTTAGAAGTTGTTTTACTGTAATTTAGAAATTTAGAAGATATATGTCTTGAGAATACAATATAGTAGGAACTCAGAATGCAAATAAAACATTGAGGAGGCAGGGCTGGGGTCTTGTGGATGAAGGGTTGGAGGGAGGGATGCCTCAGGCTGGAACAAGTGCAGCTCAGAGTACAAGAAGCTAGCTAAGGGCCGACAGGGGAGCCCAAGGCCCAGCATGGCCCTTGGGCAGAAGCTTCTGCCAGGGTCTTGTTGGGCTAAGTGGGGAACGTGGATGTGGAAGAAGGTTGGAATCCTTCCCATTGACTGAGGTGGAGCCCCTATTTTAAGGCATAGGGGATGTTTAAGTGGGTTCAGTTAAAGAGTCCAGAGACCCCAGAAATCAAATGAAGTTAGTGAGTACTCTGGGTTTGTGTGGGAGCATTTGGGGGGGAAAGAGAAATGGCATCCTACATGCCTTTAAGTACCAGGATGGGGACCCCATTGCAAACGGATGAAGCTCAAAGTACGTTTCCAGAGAATTGAACTCAGGTTTCACCTTTCTCCAAAGTGCATGCTTTTCCACTGTTGCCTGATGTCTCCAGTTTCCTATATTTCAAAAAGAAACATTAGATCTTCCACTTGCCTTTGAACAATATGTGTCACACTTTATTTAACTTTGACAAGCCAGCAGCCACATCCAGAAATAGCCTTAGGTGAAGCTAGAAATACAAAATAAGTTAGTCATGGTGGCTGCTCATATGCTACAGTAAAAAAAAAAGTAATTTAGGTCACTATTTTAAAATGTAAAAGGTATTTTTCTTATTCTAAGGTTCATGAAGATTTTTAAATTTTGTTTAGAAGCTCAATGTACATCTTGTTGGACTGATACACCCCTAAGCAGTTGTCTGGCTACACTTTATCTTTGTTCTTAAAGAGTAAATTAACTAGTGAATCTAATAGTAAATGTTAATCCACCTCCCAGAAATCAAAGCAATAAGAAAGGGTATTTCCAAATTGAGCATGGTTACATAAGTCAGGCATCTTTTTCTTCTTCTCTGGAAATCATGAAAAAGCAACAATGAGAATTAAAATTAAACAGCCCTTCCATTTGGAACTTTTGCTTTTCATTCTTAACAACCCTTGGGTGAGAAAAAAATCTAAATTGCAGAATTGCTAAACAAAAAATAAAAAAGAAAAGAAAAGAAAAAAGAAAACATCACATTTTAGAGCCAACAAGGGAGCTTATACATCTCAGAGAAATTCCTAGTGTAAAAATTTGTATTGGTATAAAATAAAGAATAAAACAAATGAAACAAATATCTGACTCAGGAGTTTTTATTTTTTGAAAAATCCAACAAATTAAATCAAAGAAAAACAAAAGGAAGGAATTTTTAAAGGTAAAGGAGATAAAAATGAGACATGACTTTTTAAAAGTAGAATACATAAATACAAAATTTTGTTCCTTGAAAAGAAATTTAAAGATAAATAACCAATTTACTAAGAAAAAAAATAAGAAAACAAGGGGAAAATCATTACTCAAAACAGGAAATTATAAAAGGGAAGTCACAGAAACAGAATTAAATAAATCATAAAGGAATAACTTACACCACTCTGTACCGATAAATTTAAAGGCATGAATAAAATAGTCTTCTAAAGAAAATATACTTTGTAGAAACTGAACCTAGATGAGATAAAAAAAAAATCTAAACACACTAATTACCATAGAAGAATTAGAATTAGAAAATTGTCACATAATACTATCCTATATTTTCTGCCCCCAACTTCCAAAAGCACCCAGATGATTTCTCAGGGAAATCTATCTATCCTTAAGAAGCAGATAATTCCTAGGTCACTCGATTAATTTATCCAGCTGATGAGTTGACTGCAACATTACATGATTTTGCAAAGGTCATTGTTACCTATGAGCGTCTGAGCTCGTGAGTATCTGACCACAGTAACCTCACGGTCTGGAGAATCTCAGCCCCTTCAACTCAGGACTCCTACTTCAGATCATGAAAAGCAGAAAAGCACCTTCCGGTTCCTTTAGCTTAATTCTTGTAAATTCATGGCAGTTGCTAAAATCACATTCCTTTATATTGATTCACTAGACATGTGATCAGTGCTTACTGTGTCCCCAGGCTTGTCCTAAATGCTGGAGTTAAAGCAGTGAACAAAGCACATAACATCCCTGAGCTTGTGGAGCTTATATTCTAGTTGGGGAGATAGACAGCAAGAATAAAATAAAACATAGCCTGCCAAATGATGATAAGTGTTTTGGAAAACAAGCAGATAAAGGTGCTAGGGACAGCTGGTGGGGAGAAGTGCTGCTATTTTGGGTGTCATAGAATTCATTGATAAGGTAATATTTGAGCAGACACATGAAGGAGGTGAGGGAGGGAGCCTGGACATCTCAGGAAGAGCATCAGAGCAGAGGGAACCTTGCTAATGTGGGGATGCACCTGATATGATTGAGAAACAGCAAAAAGACCACCCAGGAGGGAGCACCATGGGTTGGGAGGAGAGTAGTAGGAAATAAATTTAGAGGTAATGGAGCCTGGTTATATAGGGCTTAGTAAGGGACTGTAAAAATGTTGATTTTCAATCTGAGTGAGATGGAAAGGCATTGCAGGGTTCTGAATAAAATGTTCTATTCTGACATTTAATAGGAACACTCCACCTGATGCAGAGAACAGTGACAGAGGCAGGCAGACCAGTGAGGAGGCTGTGGCCACAGTCCACACAAGAGATGATGATAGCAGGTTACTCAAATGGGTACAGTGGAGGAGGTGACAACCAGTTGTATTCTGGTAATGCCATGAAAATCTTTTCAGAATCAAACAATACATACAAACATACTGGTGCATGGGCATAATGATTGATGATATCCAGTAGGAGTTTCAAGGTGACCTTGGGTGAAGAATAATCAAAGCTATATATTGGGTACAATGTACATTACTCGTTTGAGAGGTGCACTAGTATCTCAGACTTCACCACTGTGCAATTCATCCATGTAACCAAAAACCACTTGCACTAGCACAGCTATTGAAATAAAAATATCTAAATATTTTTTAAAAATTACCACTCCTTTATGTTTTGGTTTTCAGAAATAAATTTAAAAAAAATTTAAGAATAATCAAAGCAAAATCAATAGCATCTTTTATCCAGAAAAATAAGAGTGAAGAGCAGGAAACGTTAACCTCATGAAGCCCTAAGTCCTATCAGTGGAGATTTTAAGTCACATATTAGTGATCACAGCCCAAAAACGAATCCGAATTAAACTGACTCAGATTATTCAATGTGCTTATCACTTGTGTTTGAATAACAATGTTTCTTTTTCTTTTCTGAATTCAAGTTCACAAACTATTTTGAATTTTTGCATGCCAATTATTTCCAGAATGCAGAACTGCTTAGAGGACACAGGTATTACTCGGTGGAGTTATTAAGGTCCCAGCAAATAAGAAAGAACAGTTGTTTCCTTGTTGTTGGCTCTATAGCTCTGTAGTTTTCCAGAGAGAAGGGTGGTTTTCAGATTATCATCCATTATGAAAGTTTTAAAAGATGCTCAGCTGCCTACCAAATCATAGGATGAAGGAAAGGGCCTAGCAGAAAGACAGTCGCTCTGACTTCCCTTCAATGGACAGCACCAAAGTCATACTGAACACCAGTTTTTAAAGACTTTTCTGAAAAAAATAAGAAACACTTAGCCCTTTGCTACCAAGACCTGGTTGAAGAAAATGCTGTTGGTTCCCTGAGGGCTGGCTCTGCTGTCTTGCTCATTTCTGCATCCCTGATGTCTAGCACAGTGCCTGGCATATAACAGATGCTCAGTAAACATTTGTTTGAGTGAATAAACAATTCGAGAAGCCAATGGACAAATCTTCTTTCACATCATTCTATCCCTTTATGGAATGTCTATTACAAGTGAAGAATAACACAATAGAGGTTTTATAATACTCCTCAGGCCCTGAGGCTAACCAGACCTGATTTCAGTCCTCACTTTATCACTACTCACTATAGAGCCCTGGTCAAGTTCTCTCCACCTCTCTATCTATGTCTCAGTTTCTTCATCTGTAACATCAAATGAATAATAGTACCAACCTCCTAGGCTTCTTAAGAGGATTAACAAAGACAAAATATGGGAAAAACGTAACATGGTGTCCCATAATTATGAGATCTTATTATTGACACTACAGTGGTATTAAAATTACCAAAAGGAAGACAGCATCTTGTAAGTAAACTTTATTTATTTATATATTTATTTGAGATGGACTTTCGCTCTATCGCTGCCCAGGCTGGAGCGCAGTGGTGCAATCTCGGCTCACTGCAAACCCCACCTCCTTGACTCAGCAATTCTCCTGCCTCAGCCCCACTGAGTAACTGGGATTACAGGTGCACACCACCATACCCAGCTAATTTTTGTATTTTTAGTGTAGACGGGGATTCACCATGTTGGCCAGGCTGGTCTGGAACTCCTCACCTCAAATGATCCACCTACCTCCACCTCCCAAAGTGCTGGGATTATAGGTGTGAGCCACCGTGTCCGGCCACATCTTGTAGATAAACTTTAAAAATCTTTTTTCTTTGTTATGAACAATTTTAAGTATATACAAAAGTAGAGTGTAATAAACCTGACAACCAGTTTCAACAATTATCAGTTCATGGACGGTCACCCCCTTTCCCAGGCCTTTGTATTATTTTGAAGCAAATCCCAGACATGATGCCATTTCATCTGTAGTACTACAATAGGTAGCTCTAAAACAATAATAAAAATAAAACCCAAAATTCCATATCACACCTAAAAATAATGAATAATGATTCCTTAATTAGATAAATGGTTGGTCTACTGAAAGCCACAAGAAGAAAGGAAGAAGAGAATCAAGTCTGTTCAAGACAGGGGTTTAAGCAAGTTCTCCCCAGAGTCAACACGATGATGGAAATACCCATTGTCACCATCAAGGTGGACTCTCCCTGCTGCGGAGTGGGGCTGAGGTGGGGGGAGGGCAGGGAATGAAGCCAGTATTTCATGCCTGAAAGGAGTCAGAGCGGAGATCCCCTAGTGATTAAAACTTTCTTACTTCCCAAACAAAACGGCATTTCATTTGAAACAATTCTGTACAAATTCTTCTGCTTCCAGATTGATGGGAAATTAGAATTTAATTTTATCTTTTCATCTACCTTGAGGCCTTGTTGACAGTGTTGGTTTTTATGCAGGTTCTATTACACAATTAGAGCTAATTGAACAGTGACAGAACTGGTCTGGTTTGTGAAATTTAACAGAGCCTGAAAGCTCATGTTTTGGGGAGAATTCAATTATTAAATACGTTTTGCTTACCCCACTTCCCCTAATTTCCCCTCATTTGTTTGACAAAGTCAGCAACCCAGTGGAAACCTCAATATCATTCACTGCTGCTCTCATCATAAAACCTCGAATTTAAATATTTTCCTTTTATTCTTAGCTGGAACTTGGAGCAGTTTGATTGCTTCAAAATGAGATCTACTGGTATTGAAGCTGTTGAACATCAATAGTTCAAACCCAGATTATCATCCCCCATTTAAATACCAAGGTCAATGTGAAGTCTAGAGCTCAGTGGGCAACATTAGCAGGGAAGTGAATAACAATGCTGAGAAGGTTGCAAGCTAAGGAGCATGAGGAGGTGAAAAGGGAACATAAAATGTGCTGCATGTTTCTTCTTTCAAAGCAGAAGCTACCTTATAATCACCAAAAACTTGGTGGAGAGATACAAGCCTGGAGGAGATACAAGCCTGGATTCAGAAGACTGACATAGAACAGAGGCGCTGGGAAACCTGATGTTATCCTCACAAACCTTTCCATATAGAGCTGGCCTCAGAAAGCATGCGTCGCAACTGCCCTCCAATAACTGAAATTTGTTAAATGACAAATGATAGTGGCCTGGTCCACTGGGATCTGGTTTCTGAGGAAATTTCTGATAGGCTCTCTTCTAAGACCCTTTGATCAGGAATAAAGTTTTCCCTGCGTGGCCCCAGCTCCACCCAAGGCCTCACAGTCTCAGGCACCCAAGTGTCTAGAAATGTTCACAGGTGCTGGGTCATGGGGTTGGGATGGAGGGTCTACACTTGAGAACAATTCCTCTGCTCCTGTCTGTATGCGGAAGGCCATCCTTCCCTTTCTCTTTGAAGACTCTGCCTCCTCCACTTCAGCAGCACCCAGTCCTCTCCTTTCAGCACTTGAATTTTACCCCCTTCCCTCCCACATTCTAGTCTTGGTTAACGGTTGTGATGGAGGGTGGGAGGCAAAGTGGCTTTACAAGCCGGCTTCTGAAACTTTTCATCTCCCATTTAAGAAGGAGAAGAAAGAGACAGAGAAGGCTAGACGAATAGAAGTCGTAACCCTGCCGTAGCTCCTTATTATCTACTTTTCCCTTGAGAAGCAAGCTTAAGGAAGGCAGGGGCAATGTCTGTCTTATCTGCTGCTGCATCCTTGCTGCTAAGACTATTTCCTAGTTTATGGTGGGACAGCAAATATTTGTGAAATGTTATTGGATAGGTGGACGGATGGATACTGCTTAGAAGCCATCATTATTCCTTACTAAAGGAGTTACTCTACCAAGAACTTGAGAGTATACAAGAGAAAATAGAAATCAGTATACATTTCCCCTTTTGATCTAAAGAACCTCTCTTTTTAACAACAACAACAACAAAACCTTTATGAGTCGTGGAGGCCAAAGCAACTTCATCTTAGATGCTAATCTGCCATGTTGACTTCTGATTAATCCTTTTCCAGGAAGCCTTCTAAGATGTCTGGTTTATCTATTGTTCCTTGTATGAGAACATATACTTGTCATAAGTCCTGCCTGTACGTCAAAAGCACCTTGATGTTATCATACTTCAATTGTCACATACATCCCTTCTGAATCACGCAGGCCCCTTCCCAGTGGTATGTAAGCCCTGGGTCTGTTGCGGGACAATCAAAGACTGGAGAGACTGAAAAAAGTTCAGGAAAGTTTATTAAATTAAGGTGATCACCGGCTCAGCTAGTCTGAGCCCCAAACAAAGGGCTTTTCCCACTTTTAAATATCTTAAGGTGGGAACCACGTGAGGTGGGAAGCGAGCTACAGAAGCAAGAAACAAAGGCAGCATTACAACATTTCTTACATTTTGAGAAAGAAATGTCTTGCAACCTAAACTTATCACTCTTGTGACCCTGCAGCCATGCAGGAATTCACCGGGTCTTAGGGGCATTAGGGACTGACCAATTTGGACTTTAAAGAAGAAGTCATAGAGCAAGAACTCTGGGTCACAACATACTTGGGGCTGCCCGTTTCCAGGATCACAGACCGAATAACTAGTCTGGTTATAAACACAAGTTCTTGTATGAGTCCCTGTACACTCACAGTAGGTCTGGTATAACAGAGTTTTAGTCACACCTTTTCCGGACCAGGCATCTATCATACAGTGATGACGGTCATCCTGGTCCCCTTTCATAACCATAGATGAAAGAGTCAGTGGCTTCAGTATTACTAATATGATTAAACTTACACTATGCATGGGCACTTTTCTAGGCAACAAGCTTGGCAGCATTTGCAGAAATAACAGGACAGCAAAATAATTACTACAAGTAAGAGTGTAACTATGTTTGTAAATTTAAGCCACATTTACTTATGTATCATTGACTTCCTCAGGCTTCAGCCATGCATAGACTAGTCAGCCTCCATTTGTGTGACTAGAGCAGGGCTCAATGTTTCCTCAAGCTTCAGTCGTGCGTGGACTGACCAGCCTCCGGTGTGGTCGGAGCAGGGCAGTTGTCCTTGTCAGCAGTGGCTTGATTTCACCACAGGATCAACCATGTCGGGTGGTCTGGGTTTTGCTGACTGATCCACTGGTCCTGGGCGGTGGCTGTTGCTAGTTTCAGCCGGCTGTGATGAACCCAAGGTGTGATACTTGCAACTCTAACAGCAGTGGGGGTAGACAAGATCACAATATGGGGGCCATCCCATAAAGGCTCTAAAGTGGTTGGGTTCCCATCGTTTGACCCAGACAGAGTCTCCAGGTTGGAAGGGATGTACTGCATCTGTGAGGCTAACAGGTGTTCTTTCTCTTACTCACCCTGTATTTCCTGCATGGCCTCACCTAAGGCTTGCATTTGCCTTCTTAAGGTTAATTTCCCAATTTTTAAAATCTCCTTTTATCTGAGTAATGATGGGGGTGTCGGCCAAACACTATCTTACAGGGTGAATACCCAGTTAATTTAGTAGGAGTGCACCTGACTCAGAGAAGGACAATGGGCAGCACCTGGTCCCACCTTAGATGAGTTTCATGGTAGAACTTTTTAAAAAGCTGTTTGAGTGTCCAGTTTATTCTTTCAACTTTCCAGAACTCTGTGGGTGATAAGCTGTATGCAGTTTTCATTTGATTTTTAACCTCTGCGTTAGCTGTTGTATTATTTCTGCGACAAATGCTGGGCCATTGTCTGATCCTAAAGTTAGAGGCAGTCCGAATCTAGGAATAATGTCCTTTAGTAAGATTCTAGTTACTTCCTGAGCTTTCTTTGTCCTGATGGGAAATCCCTCGACCCAACCTGGGAAAGTGCAGACAAACACTAGCATGTACCGGTAGCCTCCGGCCTGAGGCAGCTCAGTAAAGTTCACATGCAGGTTTTCACAGGGTGTAGCTCCAGTTTCCAGAATCCCTGAGGGCCATGTTGGCCCCTGCTATGGATTGTTGGGGGCACAAGTTAAACGTTACTCACAAATGGCTCCAGTGATGGCGGTTAGGTGCAGCAATAGAAATGCCATCCTACAAGAGTCTCTAACGCAGTTTTTCCCATATGTGTTCCTTGATGAAACTGTTTTATGAAC